GGGAGGGGGGGTAAAGATGGTTGATTGGTGAGGGAGTTTTTTGAGGGGTGTGAGGTGGGCTTTGTGGGAGGGGTATAAAGATGTTATTTCAGTGAGAGGGATGAAGGGAGGAGATAGTTATTTATTAGAGATCCCTATCTCCTGTGTTCCCTTGTTTTGAAAACCCGCTATAGTAATTGAATTCTTACTTCTTTGAAAACTCACTCCTATACTTCACGAAAAGATATGATCAAGGTTTTGCTCTTTGTATATCTTACTATATCAGCTTATACTATATCAGCTTTACAGTCCTTCTCATACTTACATAGCCATCTATTAGTATACGAACAATTACTGTGGTAGCGAATCATCTCCATCGTCATTTTATTTACTCTTTCACATACACATACACATATCCATCCTTCTCCAGCAAGAAAAAACGAAAAGAAAAGAAGAGGAACATGCTCCTAAGTCTCCTCTTTCTTAAAAACAAAAAAGAATAGCGGCCGCGGAAACACGAGAGGGGAAGAATACGTATATCCACCCCTGGCGATAGTTTGTTGTAAAAAGTCGCTGAGAGGATAGTGTTATTCTGAGGGAGGAGGATTTATCGATGGGTAATGGGTTATGGGGTTTGGTAGATGGGTTTCTTGCTTTTGTTTTTGCTTCTGAATAGCTATTTATATTCATATTCATATTTACCTTTTTTAAATTGTATGTCGTTGTTGGTTTGACTTTATTGTCAAATATGAGGTGCAATACAGGAAGAGGCTAAACCTTAGTATTAGACTATTCCTATTATTGATGTATACCAAGTCAAAGGTGTGGAAGTCGTACCGCGATAATATAGGTAGGACTAGCCTAGTCAGGTGGTCCGTGCTACCGAGTATATATTCACTCGAATATTATAGCGACAGTCGTATTCTGTGTTTCTATTCACAATTCGCGAATGTAAAGACTATTCCCAGACGCCGTTTTCGACAGTCATAGCCGAAGCTATAGCGGACGAGTATAAAGCATTGTTCACGTTGTTCTAAAGTTCCATACTGGGGTTTCTTTGCGGGCTTAAGTGTGAAAACTGTTTTGTTGAATATGAAAGGGAGGAGGGTATATATATTAATGCGCATATTCCTTGTACGGCGGTCTTTCTTTTTTCCTCTCTATGTCTTTGTGAAGGTAGTAAATCCTTGTGGTTCTAAGTGACAGGTGAGAAGTGGGAAGTGACTATCTCTGTCTGTGATCAGGTAGAGTCTCAATGTGACCCACCCACGAACTAAGTAACGTAAAGTGACTTGAAGCGATTTGGTGGTCTTTGATACTTGACGACTTGACTTGAGTTTATTTGAGTGATCCCTTCTTCTTATAGCTGTGTGGCTTTGATGGTTATATTGCGCGTACTTATAAGATTACAGGTGAGAACCGAGTAGCTTTTGTAGTATGAATATGATTGGCAGAATATAATGTAGGTTTTGTTTTGTTTATAACTCATTTCTCTGTTACTTTCTATTGGGTGGACGGCTTGTCGGGTGTATTATTCTCCTGGCTTGTTTACGGGCTTTTCCAAATTGTTGTAGAAACTTAGCAAATGATTTCTTACGCGCGTCGAGAACTTAGCGAGAGATGGCTACGGTATAGTACTATGCCAGAGATGATTAGCTATTCGTTAAGATTAAGCGAGCTAGTTTGGTAATTATTCTAGTCTTTAATCTTCATCTATTACCCTGGTTGTCTACGAGCAGGGAGAAAAATCCTGATATACTCCTCTAGCTTACTAGTTTATTACTTACTCTCTTATGCGTTCTATAGAAAGTTGTCTATATATTATTAATACTCACTTAATAAATTGCTCTAGTACTAATGTTATATTAAACTTTCAAGTTTCAATGAGGTTTATGTACAAGTTAGCTAAAGAACTCCCGTAATCATTCTTCGATTGAAATCAGGTAGCTTAATATGAAAATCTCTACAAAATGTCCAGAGAATGGGGCTCATCACACGTGACCAGATACATCGACTTGCAAGCATCACTTATCCATATAGCCATCTTTAGCTTGTTTTCTTTTGATTGAACCATAGAATTAGGTTTTAACGTATTCAAGGGTTCATCAAAGTCACAGATATTAAGCTTAGACTCAACACGTGACCCAGCAACTGTCTAAGATCCCTGCAGGTAGCCAAGCTGCTACGTTCATTGGCTTCCCTCGACTTTCAGACACCAGAACATCAACTTTAAGAAAATGGACAACACAAACCAGCCATCAAAGAAGCATGTCAGACACGGATCATCGGGTAGAGGTTCGTAATCCTTAGCTTTATATCTTCCACTCTGCCTTTTTCACGTTCTATTCTTATGTTTTGACGTTGCATTCCCTTTGGTCACGAGTCTGGGAACATGCGGTTGTGGTTCATCATTGCCTTGATTTGCCTATCAAAGTCATCTGCCATTCATTTCATCTCAAGTCCTATTTCCAGCAAAGCCTTGCATGACTCCGATGGTACGAGCACCTTACTCTACCAGGCAATCGCAGGCCTCATGTGGTCATAGCTTGAAAGAAGCCTCGTTAGCTTCCCATCGTGGCATCTGGTAAGCCAGGGGATTGGCAACGCTAAAATTGCGACGTGCAACAAAATAAATTATTATTATTACTGTTGTTGCTTGTTCTTTTTTTTCGCTTTGATATGAGGATTGTGGTGCTACAAAGAAATTTCTAGTTGGAGCAAACCAACCAACATTCTTGGAGATTGTAAAGCTCGGAAGCCTTCAAGCACGTTCCCTAATCAAATAGCGTTTATGAGCAAACAAATCAAGATCGTGTCTTTTACAAAAGTGTCTAAGATTTACTGACTTATTCTCCTTAGCTCTACCCAGAAGACCTACTCGTGGTCCCCTTGATGAGAGCGAGTAAGCTATCACCTCATACCCCTATACTTCACCTACTAAACCTATAAGTCCAACATCCAATCCTCTCACCTCACCCACAATCCTAGCCCACCAAACCTCCTCTCGCCTCTCCCCAATACCATCCAGATACCACACTCCACGACTCCCCTCACCAACTCACGGCTCCAACCTCTCAATGATGTCCTCTCAACCCTCCTTCAAAACAGCCAACTCCACCATCCCCGCAACAACAAAAGATTTCACCCACCTCCTTCGCCCAGAAATCTACCATCCACTAACACTAATCGACGTCCCCCCTCCCTTCCGAACAAATGCTTCCCAACCCGACCCTTCAACACCCCTCCAGGCTCTCCTAGAAGGCGGCCACTTTCGTAGCGCCGCTATAAAAGCATGTCAACACCTAACATCTCCCTCGCTCTCCCCTTCCAACCACCAGGAAATCTTTGACCTGATTTATACCCGTCTTTCCTGTCTTACGTTATGTAACCAAACGGCCCTCGCCGCACAGGAGGTAAAATCCCTCGAGGATTTAAATTCAGCCTACTACCTAGATGAGACTACCGGTCAACATCTCGTTCCCTGGCATCTCCGTGTCCTCGCTGTTAGGCTGCAAGGAATGGGCTATGCGGATGCGAGACGCGGGGTGATGGGGTATTATGATCTCGCGAGGGAAGCTCGAATCTCACTTAGTTTGTTGAAGAAGAATCTTTCGACTCTGTCTGAGGAAGATGGAGTCGAGAAAGTGGAGATAGCACGTGAGATTTCGGTTTTGGGAGGGAGATTGGATGATTTGGGGATTCGGGTAGCCTCTGCTCTGATAGAGATGGAGGATCTAGAGGGGGCTGCTAGATTTCTGAAGACGCTGAGACCTGGAGCTGGAGACGGGAGGTTAGAGTATCAAAAAGCTTTACTGTTTCTTTGTTTAGGGGATGTGGATTCGGCGCGGGAGTGCATCACCACCTCTGAAGATGGGGATCGAGAGAAGAAAGTTGTGAAGGCTTTGGCCGCTATTGCGGATGCCGAGTATGGGACTTCGGTGGAGATCTGGGAGAGTCTTATTTCAGACGCGAAGAATGATGATGGTGAGGAGCTGATGGGAGAGGTGGCCATGTATCTACAGAATCTGGCGGTTTGCTATCTCTACCTTGGGAGAATGGACGAGGTAAGTCATTCCACATCCCCCAAACTACCCCCTAACTTCCATTCCCCATCCCTCAATCAAAAAATAAAAATAACCCTAACAAACCCACCCCAAAGGCCCGCACAACCCTCGAATCTCTCCTCACGCCTTCCGACCAACAAAAACCCTCAACCTTCCACGCCCTAACCTTCAACCTATCGACCATCTACGAGCTCTGCACCGAACGGAGTCGCGCCCTGAAAATCAGTCTTGCGGAGCGAGTAGCTGATATCTTACGTGAGGAGAGGGCTGCTTCCTTGGGTCAACGTGTAGGAGGCGTTGGGATTGGTGGGGAAAAGGTGAATGGGGATTTTAAACTTTAGTGGAGGGTTTGTGGTTGTAGGGGGGGAGGGGAAAGGGGTTTGTGTATTGTGTATTGGGAACGAGATGCTTAGAGTCCTTTTTCTTCTTCGTCGTCTTTTATGCTTAGATGGTGATTTGGCTACCTATCTCATGTCAATCCTTTTGGCACATAGCAGTATTCCCTCGCCTGATCCTCTAATCAGCAGAAAAACCTTCAAATTATGGGACCCTAATATCAACTCTCTCTTTTTACAAACAGGAAAAAGCCATCCATCCCGTGATTCCTTCAAACCTGCACGCCCCGCCGCTCAATTCCCACAAACCGGGCCTGGCCGTTGCGATCTGGGTACAAGAGAAGTAATTATCCCTCAGACACACCTACGTAGCTTAGAAAGATTAGAAAGAAGAGATATTACAGTATCCAAAAAGCCTAGCCTAGCCTTGCCTAGCCTAGCCTTGCACAAATACATCAAAACAATAGGCATACTGTATGAGCAAATTTGGAATAATCAAAAGTTCAAAACGGTACTCGGTATACAGTATGTTTGTTAACTCTAGCGAGCCAAGTGATGTGGGATCACTAAGTTGTTACAGTAGTAAGTTGGATGTATCAGGAATTCTACGTACATACACACATACAATAGATTCTTGAGGTGCAATATGGTAGAGGAAGGAAGGGATAGGGAGATTATTGTAGCTTAATATATTATAGGTTCTTGGAGAAAGTTTATCGAATGAATGTACGTACAAATTACAATAATGATTGGGACTCTGACGGGGAGATTTGGTTGTTTTTACGATATGATGTTGTGCCAATTTCAGGAGTATGATGAGGTGAGTTTGAGCATAGTAAGGTAGCTCCGAAGCCCGGGGGAGAAAGATTTGGATTCTTCCATCCCAACATTCTACGTTAAGACACATGGCAAGGGCACCCACCCATAAATAGAAGTTCTTCAACCCCATTGGAATCCACAAATCTGCTATCCTCGCATGTTGACTACCCTAGATGAATTTCCCTCCCTCCCCAACAACCAACAAAGCACTCCCACTCCCAGGCTTACTAACCACAACAGACGCCTCCTTCTGCTCCGCCGTTAGAGTCCTCGTACTGTAATACTCCGCCTCCCACGCCTTCTTAACAGCCTCCACCTTATCCGCAGGAACAAGATGAACGCTACATCCTCCCCACCCAGCACCCGTAAGTCTCGATCCATAGCTCCCCGCTTTCCTAGCGATGGAGCAGAGAGCGTCGATTTCGGGACAACTGCATTCGTACATTTCGCGACACGAATCCTGGGTCTCGTTCATAAGGGCTCCGAGTTTTTGGTTGAGGGATTCATCTAGGGATGATGGGTTGGAGAGGAGAGCCATGAATTGAAGGACGCGGAGAGCTTCAGAGAAGACGTGGAGTGCGCGTTCCCGGAGTTTGAAATGTGAGGCTCGGACTGGGAAGGTGGATGTGAATTGGCGGTTGAGTTCTTCGACTGTCATTCCGATTACTGGAGCAATTTCTTCGCGGGTGTAGCCTGGTTGAGTGAGTGTTGATTTGGTGATTTCGATTAACTCGGCAAGTTGTTCTTCCACGGATTCAGTGGAGTCTTTGAAATACTTTTGATGGAAACCGTTGAGGGAAATGCCTAATGGGCCCGAGTCTTTGGGTAGAGGAGTTGTGGATTTAGAGAGAACAGCGTTTAGGTAGGCGGCTGCGAGACTGCACTCGACTACTCGTAGATTGTAGCAAACTGGTCCAGTGACTTGCTTATCTGATTGGACGAAAGATTGGGCAATCAAGAAAGAGAGCTCCGGTGTCGTCTTAGGAAATTGGATAGGCTGTGCAGTAAGACCTGGAACGAAAGAGACGAACAACGCAGATCCTCGAATTGAAAGAACCGAGGCTGATTGATCCATTCCCCCAGAATTGACCCCCACAGCACGTTCGCTAACAATGGCCAACTCGGTCAACTCCTTTTTGTCGACGGACTTTTCCCCATTGGCATACATCACAGCCAATGCAGATGCACTAACGAATGCAGCGGAACTGCTCAATCCACCTCCTGCTGGAACCGTTCCATCCATCAAAATTTCCATGCTTACTGGCTTCACATTGTTACCCCGCTTAACCCGTAGCAATTCCAATGCGCCCCGCAAGCCCGACTTGAAGTAGTTGGTCCACTCGTGTACCTTTGAGTCTATATCAACTGTATCGAAGGGAATTTGGAACTCGCGTGCGACAAATTTGTCGCCTTGGACATTGGAGACCTTGATGGTATAATGATCGGAAGTCGTTCCCTCCTCAGTTACCCGGACAGCCAGTAGCACATCTGTCGTAATGGCCATAGGAAGAACCGAGTACAGAGAGTAGTCGATGTGTTCTCCAATTATGTTTACTCGACCCGGTGATCTCGAGACAAAGTGGGCATCATGGCCATAGTTGGTTTTGAACTGCGCCAATAAACGCTGCCATCGTCCCGTTTGTGTTGAGATGGCATCTTCCGTGTAGATTTCCTTCAACGATTGTGCGACTGGTACAGGTCCTGGTTCTGCCATGTTTTCTTGTTTGTTAAAAATCTTTTTTGGTAGGATAGAAGGAGGGGAAGGGGGAGTTTATGTTTCGGGATGGCGGGGTAGTCGAGGCCGAGGAAACAGAGCCAGGCCGTTGGCTGGGAGGACTTGGTGGTCTCGAAACACTTTTGTCAATGGGGGAGTGATGTAGAGGACGTGGAAGTTCTAGACGAACTGTTCCGATGGCATACTCGAGTATATTGCCTTTCGCAGAGTGTCATGGTGGGGTTGAAGTGAATTAAGCCCGTGGCTCGCGTGGACGACCCCGCGGTTGGCAGGTAACGTTGTGATGGAATATTCAGTCATATGATTGGCTCGTATCCAGGTAGGGACCTGGGGTTTCCACTTCCTTTCCCGCCGGCATCGCTACTTATAAAGATTCACGATGATGAAGATTATATCATTCTGTGTGGAGAGAGGAGGTACCTCTACGCCATTCAGGTACCGAGGCTCAAATGTGAGGTTGACAAAGGACGAGGCTGACACTGGCAGATAAAACCAGTGGTGATCAATCAGTGCTTCGTGATTGGCCATGATGAGGTAGTTCCAACGCTTCGAGGGCGCGCAGGGATGGAAGAAGCGGTAAGGTGTGGGTGGGTGTGGGTGTGCACATATTACCTGCAAATGTACAGGGTCCATCTCCGATCGGAGTCGAAAATATAGAAATCGGAGGGTCACTCCGAACTTAAGTGTGAAGTGGAATGTTTATATGTATAGATTTATATATGATGATTTCCGGAAAAGTATCAGAAGATATTCATCGCAAATACATCCCCATATGCGTCATTCCACCGAAGCATAAAACCCAGAACTGAATAATTAATTGCCAGAGGCGGAACTTTCCAATGATTGTTGTCTTCACAGGCTGACCCTTGTTGTGTTGCGTGCTGGTACGCCACCGATAGTTCGTGCAGTTAGCGTTACCCACTACCTGGCGCTTCCCCACATTCAGTCTCCGATTTTCGCCTCTGAACTTTTTGGTCTAAATCCGTCCCCTCAATGTTCTGTTGTCACTATCGGAATACCTACAACACTACCACACCAGCAATATATCCGCATCCTCCGCAATTGCATTGTTGCGCTCCGCATTCTCCCATTGAGTTGAGCCAAAGGGCCAAGGAGAGACCCCATCCTCTTTCTTTCTTTCTCCCTCTCTTCCGACTTCTTCCCTCCCAATCTTCAACATGCTTCGATCATACCCGGCGAGAAGTGCTGTACGCACATTACGCCAGCAGTCAAGATGCAATACTCGTCCCTTCACAACATCGCCCGCCCCATCAGCAGCGGCAATGGTCAAGAAAGGCTCAACAACAATCAGAACGCAAGCAACCTCTGCGACGGCTGCCGCGCCCGCTCCGTATGATTTCTACCCAGAGTGACTCACGCTGGAAGCTAACAAAGACGGCAGAAAATCAAGAGAAACCCCAAGTCCAGCATTCAATACATCACCGCCCACCCGCGAGAACCCTTTACGCCATGCACGACAACCGGAAATGGATGAGTCGTAAGTCTATATCACCGCCACTTGAACCAGAAGACTAATGGCCATGATAGCTTTATTGGAAAAACTGGAGGTGAAATTTTTCACGAGATGATGCTTAGACATGATGTCAAGCATATCTGTATGTATATATGTGCTGATACCAATTAGCCTTGCTAATGTTGGGAATAGTTGGATATCCTGGTGGTGCAATCCTTCCCGTCTTCGATGCCATCTACAACTCAAAGCAATTCGATTTTATCTTACCCAAACACGAGCAAGGTGCAGGTCATATGGCAGAGGGATATGCGAGAGCGAGTGGGAAACCCGGAGTCATCCTTGTAACCTCGGGGCCAGGTGCGACCAATGTCATTACCCCCATGCAGAATGCCCTTTCAGATGGAACTCCTATGATTGTTTTCACCGGCCAGGTCGTAACAACCGCAATTGGCAGTGATGCTTTCCAGGAGGCAGATGTCATTGGAATATCCAGAGCTTGTACGAAGTGGAATGTTATGGTAAGAAATGTTGCTGAGCTTCCAAAACGTATCACGGAAGCATTCGAGATTGCTACCTCAGGACGTCCCGGTCCAGTATTGGTCGATTTACCCAAAGATGTCACAGCCGCTATTCTCAGAAAGGCGATTCCCACGAGCAGCACCATTCCAACTCTCCCAAGTCAAGCATCCAAAGTTGCCTTGGAACACGGCAGAAAGCAACTTCAGGAGTCAATTCGACGTGTTTCCAAATTGGTCAATATTGCTAAAAAGCCAGTTATATATGCAGGTGCAGGTATCATGGCCCTCCCTGAGGGTCCAAAGCTTCTGAAAGAATTGTCTGATAAGGCTTCTATTCCCGTCACAACTACTCTTCAGGGACTTGGTGGCTTTGATGAATTAGATCCAAAGGCCCTTCACATGCTTGGTATGCATGGTTCAGCATATGCAAACCTTGCTATGCAGGAAGCAGATCTTATTCTTGCCCTCGGTGCTCGATTTGATGATCGTGTCACTGGTGCTATCACTAAATTTGCTCCACAAGCAAAAGCAGCCGCGGCTGAAGGAAGAGGTGGTATTGTTCATTTTGAAATCATGCCAAAGAACATCAACAAGGTTGTCCAGGCTACGGAAGCTGTAGAAGGCGATGTCGCATCGAATATTGAACACCTTTTGCCTATGGTTGAGGATAGAAATATGTCTGACAGAAAGGAGTGGTTTGGTCAGATCAATTCGTGGAAAGAAAAGTTCCCTCTCTCGCACTACGAAAAGGCGGAGCGAGCAGGACTTATCAAACCACAGACTCTCATCGAAGAATTGTCAGATCTTACTGCTCACCGAAAAGAGGACACAATCATCTCCACCGGTGTGGGTCAACATCAAATGTGGACAGCCCAGCATTTCCGTTGGCGCTCACCTAGAACTATGATCACCTCCGGTGGTCTCGGTACGATGGGTTACGGTCTTCCCGCAGCTATCGGTGCTAAGGTTGCTCGACCAGATGCTCTTGTCATCGACATCGATGGAGATGCTTCCTTCAACATGACCTTGACTGAGATGTCAACGGCCAAGCAGTTTAATATCGGTGTCAAGATTATTGTTTTGAACAACGAGGAGCAAGGAATGGTCACACAATGGCAAAACATCTTCTACGAGGATCGATATGCCCACACTCACTCTGAAAATCCAGATTTCATGAAGTTGGCAGATGCTATGGGTATCCAAGCCAGACGGTGCTACAAGCCAGAAGATACTAAGGACGCCTTGAAATGGCTTATTGAGAGTGACGGACCAGCATTCTTGGAAGTTATTACCGACAAGAAGGTGCCCGTTCTACCTATGGTCCCTGCTGGAAATGCTCTACATGAGTTCTTGTTCTGGGATGGAGGTATGTATCATTTTGCACTTCAGCATTACACTCTCGCTAACAAAATTTACAGTCAAGGATAAAGAACGCCGAAGAATCATGCAAGAGCGAACTGGTGGTAAGCATGGTGTGTGATGTATTCAAACTTTTCTTTTCCAAAAATTCACATATTTCTGCGGGGGGCGGTGGAAATACCGACAGGGATATCCACCTTGTGATGTTTCTACAATCTTTCATGGTGTTGGGAAAAGTGCTTATTTCGGGGTTCGCATACTTGCTGCTATTTGCTTTCTGCTGATGCATGAGCTGCGGCTCATTGGGATCGCGTTTCTTTTCGGTTTCGGTTTTTCGTCTTTCGAGAAGCATCAGGCAATTTGTTCGCAATAGGATGGATTGATGGGTTGAAAAAGATGAATGACATGTAAATATACAGCGGGTGGTTAATGATGATAACTTTACGGATTGAGAAGATTCCCTGGTCGTCATTCAATTGAAGTGATAACACGTGGCCCATGCTTCGTAGCCCCTGAGGTCGATATCTTCTTATCTTATATACATTGTCTTTTGTCTAAGCGAGACAGGGGTTGATTGGCTCTCAGCGTTCCCGGAATGGACCCGGAAAAAAACGGGTCAGGTGACCTGGATTTTTGGTAGGCACGAAAGAACAGCCCGCATCGAGCGTAAATCGTATCTAAATTGTTTAATACTTAGTAGTAGCTTATATTAGTGTCTAATTAGAAAACCGGCCTTTTTACCCCGTTTTTAACTTATGATTCCATTTAAAGGTAGTATTTAGTTACGATTTACGGTTACGACAATAGATTTTGGTAGGGTTTTTGCTACCTTACCGATACAAGGCACCAACTTTTCAACTTAGCTAGACCGGCGGTAGCAGGGTTAAAACTCCGGGTTAGGTAACTAGCCTGTCTACCTACTCTAATTAGTATATAAGACTCTAGATAGCTTATATTCCCTAGCCCTTCTACCCCCTAAGCCCCCCCTGCCCCCCTATAGAAAAAGAACTATAAAAAGAGAATATTTTAAGATATAGTCTTCTTAACTAACTAAAAGCTTAATTAATCTTTTATATATAATTACAATTTTATTAAATAAAATAAAACTATTACTTATATATTAAAAGCTTTATAAAGGTTTAGAATAAAGGTTAATTAATACTTTATCTTAGTAGAATACTATTTAACTAATATATAATATTATTTAATAAAACTATAATTATTTAATAAAAGTTCTTAAACATTTTAGCAGTAATATAGCTTCTAGACTTGTTATAGCTCTAAATATATAGTATATAGTTATTTAAACTTCTATATATTTAAAATTCTATTCAATATTAAAGAAATATATAAAGTATTAAAATAAAGATTTAAAAATTAGAAGTTTAAATTAATTCTTTATTTTTAAACTTTATACCCTTATATTATAAAACGTAATAGATATAAGAGTAATATAATAGGACTAAATAATATATTATAATATAATAAATAAAATATTTAAAAGAACTAATTAATAACCTAATAAAACCTAATTATTATTTAAATTAAATTAAATTAAAAGTAAATAAGTTTTATAATTAACTAATTTAAGTCTAACAACGATTTAACTATTTAAATACTATCTAAGTAATATATTATAAGTAGAAGATTATTACTTATAAACTTACTTTTATAAATTAATAAATATATATTTAATAGTCGAATATAATACTATTCTATTTATATTAATACTTTATTAGTGTAACGAATACTCAAACTGGCTAACTAAACTTGGCTGGGTGTTCGCTGGTTGGTATGCTATGATAAGAAAAAGACTATCGGGTTGTTCACTTGGAAGTGAACTCGTTACTTGTATCAAAGATGTCAAACTAATATGATAAGATTGATAACTAAGTTGAGCACGAAGCTCCTATCTAATGGCAGACATCCCAGTCTTATATAGAACCTTCGTTCTCCAAATGTCGTTCTACTCGATCGACGTGCTGCGACAGCTCGCTCGGTCGCGCTGTCGCGCTTCCATCACGTGACTATGAATGCTATGAAATCCTTGAATACTCAACAACCCTGAGTAACCACTGCTATGGTATAACTACTCTGGATGTATCTGTCCTGTCAGAACGCCGTCTGGACTAACTTGTATCAAAGATGTCAAACTAATATGATAAGATTGATAACTAAGTTGAGCACGAAGCTCCTATCTAATGGCAGACATCCCAGTCTTATATAGAACCTTCGTTCTCCAAATGTCGTTCTACTCGATCGACGTGCTGCGACAGCTCGCTCGGTCGCGCTGTCGCGCTTCCATCACGTGACTATGAATGCTATGAAATCCTTGAATACTCAACAACCCTGAGTAACCACTGCTATGGTATAACTACTCTGGATGTATCTGTCCTGTCAGAACGCCGTCTGGACTAACTCGTCGCATGCTAACACGTGATTCGTGACAATTAGTTCTTTAAATAATATTTAAAACAAATTAGTATTATTACTTAACTTTAATACTTAAACTATATATATTATTAAATAAGAAAACAACTAAGTAATATACTAAAAAGTATTAAGTAAATACCCTCTAGAGATAACAATAATCCTCTTATAAGGTATTGTTGGTACGACCTGGTGGTCGTGACGACGGCGAATACGGGATTCAGGTCACCTTCTCTTTGGAGGTAACTAAATCGGTGTATTCATTTGTTCGTGAAGAGTAAAGGTAGAGAGATGTGGTGCTCTACGAGCTTAAGTATGTGAGTGGCAAGCCACTCACATGACACCAAGCATGTAGAACCACCAAGCTCTCGTACGAGGTGCTAATCACCATAATTATATACCGACAGGTATAGAGTATAATAGGCAGGGGGTAGGTTAAAGAGTATGTATTAGACTAAGGAGGGAAGAAGTCGAGGCTTGTACTCGGGCGATATCTAGCTAACCCTAGCTCGTGCGACACTAGTCCTAATCCGGACTTAGTACGCCTAGACTCTAGTTACTACGTATATAATTTCCTTAATAAAAAGTAATATAAATATTTAAGTTTTATTTTATTAGGTTTTAATTTATATATCTATATAAGAAGCGTTTAAATAAAAGAGTACTTAAAAAAGTCTAAATTAGAAGAATACTTAAAAAGACCTTAATAAAATAGTACTTAATAAAACTTTAATTAAAGATTATTTAATTAGTTTTTATTAGAGAATACTTAATAATCTTTTAATAACAAATGAAGTTTGAATAAAAAGGTATTAATAAATCTAAATTAAAGATATCTAATAAAACTTATAAATAATACTTTATAAGATCTTAGTTAAGAAATACTTTATAAGACCCTAATTAAAAGATACTTAATAAGGTTTCGATTAAAATATACTTAATAATACCTTAATTTAAAGATATTTAATAAGGTCTTAATTAAATAATATCTAATAATACCTTAATTAAAATATACTTAATTATACCTTAATTTAAAGATACTTAATAATACTTTAACCAAAAAATACTTAATAAGGTTTTAACTAAAATATATTTAACAATACCTTAATTTAAAGATACTTAATAAGGTTTTAACTAAAAGATACTTAATAAGGTCTTTATTAAAATATACTTGATAAGGTCTTTATTAAAATATACTTGATAAGGTCTTTATTAAAATATACTTGATAAGGTTTTTATTAAAATATATTTAAAAATACCCTAATTTAAAGATACTTAATAAGGTTTTAACTAAAAGATACTTAACAAGGTCTTTATTTAAATATACTTAATAGTACCTTAATTAAAGATACTTAATAAGGTTTTAACTAAAAGATACTTAACAAGGTCTTTATTTAAATATACTTAATAGTACCTTAATTAAAGGATACTTAATATAGTTTTAATAAAAAGATACCTAATAAGGTAGAGATAGGCGGAAATATAAGCTTACGAGTATTATTTATCTTATATATCTTCGTTAGCCTAAGTTATTTAAGATAATTAAGCTAATTAATTTAGAAATCTAGTAAAATACCTAGGTTCTTAGGCTATATAAGATAATAGACGAAACTCGATATTTACCTAGACCCGGTAGATAAGAAAAGTAGTAGAGACCTCTTTTATCTTATTCTAACTTAACTAAAATACCATTATATTATATTATTTATTTAGAATAATTAAAATGATTTATCGACAACCATAGTAAAATCATGTCACGAATCACGTGTAGCAATGCATGTGACAAAGGAAGACCAGGCGGCGTCCTGACAGGTTAAGCACATCCATGGACTTATAGCAAAAAGGGATCAATTAGACTAGCTAAGCGATCCAGGGATTTCTTCTGGTTAGGAAAATCACGTGATCTAGTCGCCTGAGTTGCCTGAGTCGCCTGTCGACTGAAGCGATCAGGGCGAGCGACTAGAGCGATCAATCAGAGAACGAAGGTTCTATATAAGACTGGCACGTCTGCCATTAGATATGAGCTTCGTGCTCAACTTAGTTATCAATCTTATCATATTAGTTTGACATCTTTGATACAAGTAACGAGTTCACTTCCAAGTGAACAACCCGATAGTCTTCTTCTTATCATAGCATACCAACCAGCGAACACCCAGCCAAGTTTAGTTAGCCAGTTTGAGTATTCGTTACAGTAGAACGTTCTTGTTAGGTTTAGTAAGTACTATTCTACTAGTTTAGTTAATTTCGACTAGCGATAGTACTTTAGCTAAGCTAAGTTAGAACGTTCTACCTACCGGTTCCCTCGGTGTTATAGAATAAGGGATAAGCTATTTAGAATAATTTAATTAATACTTCGTATATCTTTATTGGTTGATTTATAGTTATTTAGATTAAGTAAGTGTATTATTTTAGGGAGATAGAAGGATAGGTTCTTAGGTAGGATATAGAATAATAATTAAGCTAGGCAATAAGGCGGGTTATATAGAGATAGATAGGTTATTAAGTTATTTAATAAGGGGTTTTAGGTTTTTGGGGGGGGGGAGATAGTAGGGTATAAAGGTTATAGATATTCTAGTTCTAAGGATACTAATTTAATGATCTCAAACCTTCGTTAAGGAGCCCTAGGCATATATATATACAGTAGAGATACTTCGGGAATCCCTTTCGGGAACTGTTCCCGACCCCACGAGCGCGTGGGTGGGATTGGAAAATTAAGCGAGTATAGTAAGAGGCACGAACGAGTGAGCATGTTGAACCCGAGCCCCCGATCTTCATCATACATATGAATTTCCGAGCTTTCGGATAGACAACCTCGAATCATTCCATTATAACGCTTTCAAACCTACAAGTTCCAAGTCGGTAGCATCATGATTTACACCAGTATAGAAATCGCACGATCACCCGAGGAAGTCCGCAAAGTCGTACGTGTTTCCTAAGCTTACAGTATCCCCCGCTGCTTCGTGGCACATCAAAACTTACAAGCCCACACGCACGCAGTTCTTTGACTTCCCGGCCTACCCAATGTGGCATCAGGGATTCATCAAGTCTATCAAACCTTTTGTCGAGTGTAGACAGCGATCCTCTTGCGGTGGGGAAAAAGCTCCTGTGTGCCCTCAATGATACGGAATTCGAGGTCGAGATAACTGTCAGTACTGTCTACATTTCCCCACCTCCAATCCTTGGCTTCAGTATTCTCTATAGATGGATGGATGGATTTTTCTAACGACGTTTTTAAGGAAAATTTACCGATGAGATTTGAATGGCAAGGGCCACCGGTGATGGGCATCGCAGGCCTCCACACCTTTCATTTCGAGCTGAGTAAAGTATCAAAGGGAGGGACAACGTTCATACACAAGGAAGAGTATAGCGGGTGGTTATCTTTTTTGGTGCAGAGTTGGTTGGCGGGACGGTCTTTGTATTTGGCGTATTTGGCGTTTAATGGGGACTTGAAGGCGGAGGTTGAAAGCTTACCTTGATGTCTTGCTGTAGAGGGGGTGGAGTTGGGATGCTGAAGGGGAGCAAGGGGAGGAAGGGGTCAGGAAGTGATCCCGAAAGGGAATCCGGAGATATCTCGATGTGCTAACCTAGGTAGGTGTGTAAAGAGTAATGACTACGTTTCTTACACGAGTACTGTATGATATTGTATGTTTACTCGCACCCGTAGATAAACCGAAACCAGTGAGTATTTGACTTTCCTTTGTTCATTGTCCAGATTTACCATCTCAATCACAACAATGAAAGACTGTTCAAAGTTCTTTGTTCAGTCCACTCGTTCCAATCACCCGTTCCAATATTTGTAGCTTGTGATGGAAAAGACCTTCAAAATCATCTATGCTTTGCCAGACCGCCATTTTTTTGAAGCGTGCGCTTGTTATTTATATTATTATACAGATGAAAAGTCAACCCGTGTATTGTCGAGTGTTCCCCAGAATCCGAAGGTCCATCAGCTCTCATCGGGTTCGAGGTCGGGAGCATAAATCCAAAAGTCATCTTATACTTATCGACAGCCAAGGATAGAAGCTCATCGCGCCCCGTTATCCTTTCGGCTTCACTTAAGGGTTGACTGGGAGGATTGACAGCGAAGAGCTTCGGTCTAGAGAGTATAGGAACCTTTCTTTGCAATGCCGGGTCGATTGGTTCTATTGTGCTTCCCAGAAATCTTCCCATCTACATCTTACTCAGCATTACCTAAGAGAAATGAGGAGGGCCCTACATGATTGAGTGTGTCGGAGCTCATTAAAATCCTCGTGGCGAGCTATAGACTGGGTTTGAGAACATTCCAAATATCCGGATTGTTGGCTTCCCACTTTCCCTCGTAAGGCAACGGATAATTGACTGTCATATTGTACAGCTCCTGTCGGGGGTTTGGATAAGATGGAAATCCTCGTAGCTCCGAGAGGCGTTCCTGGGTCAGCCAATTTTCTCTTTGGAACATGGGAGCCACAGGGTTGCCGAGCGTCGGAGTCTTTAATGTTCTATCGCTATGAATATCCACTATATAAATCATGGTTAGAACATACTCATCCCAAAATGTTACGTGTAACTTAAGGTTCTCTTGTTGTTATGTTTCCTTACAGTCAATGAGCTCCTGTGTGTAAAACTGATACGTCCTTTTCTGATGAAGCAACTTGAGCATTCTAGCCATCTGTTCTTTCATCGTTAGAGATTGCCCCTCCGGAATCAAAACAGGCACAGGTTCATCTTGAACACTATATGCTTTCTTGTAATCGATCGGCGGCATTGTGAGTGCTGTCGTCTGTCACAGTCTGTGACAGTCAACACCAACAATTTCATAGATACCCTACAAAATGAAGTCTAAGGCAGAATAAAAATAAAACCAAGCTAGTGACTGCCGGACTTTGAGACTTTTGGAGCTCAATATATTGTGGCACACTGTATGGTTCACGAGGGTAAGTGTCCCTAAAGCTTCTCCTAGTAACTTTTTTGGTTGTATCAGGTATAAGTATGGGAATTGGCTTCGCTGACTCTGACTACTTAAACAGCGATGCATTGTTTGTTCTCGGTTTATAGGGCACAGGCAGACATAGAAGTTATGTCGGAGACAGTTTTCTTTTTAAAAGGTGGCCCTCTTGCTGAACGCGGATCAGAATGGGCCACAGATGTAAGATTTGGCCCTCTCCCTAGCCTCTTATCCACATTTGACGCTAACACTTCTGTGAGGGTTTCGGTGGAAACCCCCACATTTTAATCAACCGTTGGAAGCGGAAGAGACGTGGATACTTTGGCTTTCATCATTTCACTTGGCCAACTCTCAACGACTGGAGTCTAGAAAGCAAACCTCGAATTCTCTTGCAGCCGCCTCTCTCTGATGAGAAAGTCTACAGGCCTATGACTGTTTATATGCTGGAACAAATGCAACAGCGCTACTTTTGGGTTCGTGGCTGACGGATCTTTTGTGTGAATTATTCTAATGATCAACCTCAGGAATTCGCTGTTAGAAGATATGGAATAAAACGTGTACTAGAAGCCAACAATACCAGGACATTTGTAAAGAAATTTCAAATGACCAACGACACGGTTGAGCGTCCAGGCACGTTCTCTCGTGGGGCTTCCTTGGGGCGATATTACTGCTTTTGAGAAAGAGGCCAATGATATGATATCGAAGCTTGCGGAACTCTCCCCAGAAGAAAGAAATGCCGCTAGCTGGGCACGGAGATTCGTCAGGAGAACCGTGGCTGTGGATCAGTTCTGGTCTGTGCAAAATGAAGAGATGTCGTCAGCTGTTGCGGAGACGACTCCAAAATTCAAGAAGGGTCGGAGGCGTGGCCTCTTGGTCTTACTTCCTTGGGTAAGGCCATAAAGGCACATATTAAATCCGTTGAATCTATCATGGATTTTGAATCAGGGGTTGGGATTGTCCCGATGACTTCAAGCCAAGACGTCTGCCTCTTGCGATTTGGAACCGAGGGACGAGGATGTTTCTTCGTCGGCTGAATAGAAATAAATTGAGTGGCGAAGAATACGAAGGAGCCAGAAAGGTGGTCGATGATCTACTCATTAATCTGGAGTGCGCAAAAATGATCTTTTGCAAGCCAACTGATATGCGCGAGGATGAAATCACTGTGGAAGGGCTTCGAATAGCTTTTCAAGATGCCATTTCAGGAGACGAAAATGTAATGAGGCTAGCTCTAGATCGCCTTGATGGTCCAATTATAGATCCCAGAACAAGCGTGTTTCTCCACAGCTGTGCGGAAGTTTTGTATTGTACAGTTAGTCCTGACCCTTTAGCAAAACTGGTCGATAGGATCCAGGGAGCATTTGATAACTTGGATGGATTACGTTTGGCGTTTCCAGGAGAGTCGTGCCCTCCAGTTTGGGATGATCTGATCAAAAAGTGGATTCAACTGGCACAAAAGGTTAGACAAGGGGTACAACTTGACCCAGAAGAGCGACCCGTGGATCGTTCTGAATGGCTAGGCAAAACTTTTCCAGCCTTTGAAAGCGGTGCTGAGGAAGACAAAGTTCCTTTATGATCCTGTTCTTTGTTCAAATGTTCTAATTGAGACTGGAAAAAAGGATACCCGTGCATCACGTTGCCGCAACAAAGGTCTGCTTGTACATTTATGTATATTCAATACAAAGAAACAGACTCATACCTATTAATAGAAATATTTCGAAACTCAAATACTAGCTTTTTTGCTCACAGCCCCATGATTGGAATCCAATATAAAATACCCTCAGAACACAAATCTATTAATCTCAACAACTCACCAACCAAACTCAACACACCAAATGGACATCAACAACCTCAGCCCAGACCAACTTTGCGATTTCCTGCAAGAATACGGCACGGAGATCGAGCGAATGAATTGTAAAGGAATACATGGTCCATCACGTCAGCGACACATGTGGAATTGGATCCCTGTTAGATACAGGGACATGGAATATCCCACATATCAAACTTGCAGGAAAGCTCGATTACGAATGACGTTTCAGAATCAGGTACAGAAATATCTAGGCGCGAGAGAACACCGAAAGGATCGACTTCAGGAAGATGGATGGCAAAAGTATCCAAGAGGAGAAGGGGACTTGACGGATACTGAGAAAAGAATGTATGCCGGTGTTCATCAGAGGTATAGTGAGATTATTATGGAGGAGATATGGGGAGAGTATTTCGCGAAGCAGAGGGAAATGATTGAAGATGGCCTCAAAGTTGTAGAGGAGAAGCAATGCGCGGAAATCAAAATTTGGTACCGGTAGCATAGTAACGAAAGCAATTTCGACAGATCTCGAAGGTCTCTTGCTTAATTTGTTTATGTCTTCGAAGAATTATATACTAGAGTTCTAGCGTATTAAAGAGACACCATTAGTTGAAAGATGCATGAGTGTTTTGTCTTCGTTCGCTTAATTTGAGAAGTTTTCAAAACCTCGCTAAGACCCACCAGAAGAAAAAAAAATCCACTCACCACAAAACCCAAAAAAGAACCCCCTTCAAAGAGAAATAGTGCAAAGCTAATATCATTTGGAGAATGCAAGAATCGAACTCGCGACCTCTCCCAGTCGCTTGACGTTATGTCTTTGCTAAGGGAACATTATACCACTAAACCAATTCCCCGTTTTTGATGTTGTTTTGTTGTTGTGATGAAGAAAGGCTTATTCTTATATATTCCCACACGTGGCACTAGGTGTGGGGTTCTCAGGCTTGGCGTCGGGCAATTATCGGGCCGTACCGTTGGATGCCTCGACAGTGTATGATACCTGGTCGTTACTGTGTACACACCACTCTCAGAATAAAATTATTCTAAAAGCGTCGTATAACTAAAATGGTTATATAAAGAGCTTGAATAATTGTTAACTCTTATTTTTTACTAACCTAGGTATCCTAAGACAATTATTTTGGTTTTCCTATAAGTTTAGTATAATGGAGTTTTATATAGTGTGTACAGAGTAACGACCATGTCTCTTCTTCACTTTGAGTACTTGGTGTTTGGTTGTAACGTTCATTACATTTTCTTTTGGATCTCGAGCTAGAGTTCCCCGGGTTTACTGTACTCAATTCGGCAACACGCTCGAGAAATTCGGGACAAGTGACAACTCTTTCATGTTCTACAGTACACAGAATTCCTCTTGTAGGTTCGTGCGGCTTCCAGTGTGAACCCATCTGGTCGGTGATTAACAACAGCACGAATTGTAGCGCGAATCATGCTTGTTGCCATGTATCGACGCCATGCAAAAAAGCTTGATTGCTCCGGCCGCTTATTCAAACAAATATAACACCGTAATCATGGTCGAACAGCCGGATAATGCCCTGTCTGCTCAAGATATGAAGACTATCGACTCGGATCTCAGATTTTGTTTAGATTTAACGATGTCACAGATGATTAGAAGCGAGGTCTGTCACACTTTGATGGAGAGGAGCATCAAAGCTTTTGCTGCCGAATTATTATAGTTAGAATTGTCAAAGTAGAAGAGTATATTCTCTATATTCTCAATCTTAGTATAAAGGTCTCTAGGGAGAAGTCGAGGTACGAGACACCACGTAACTCTAGGAACTAGATTACTATATTTTAGATATATAATATAACAAGGGGTAACAGTTATCTTTCAGCTTAAGTATACCTGCTTTGTTTCTCTAATAAAATCATTAAAACCATAAAATAATAGTTTTCTTCTTATTTCCTTATTAATCTACTACTCTATCGAATACTACTTTATAGGTAATTGTCGGTATATAATTCTGGTGAATAGCACCTTGTACGAGAGCCTGGTGGATCTATATGCTTTAGGTCATGTGAGTGGCTTGCCACTCATATACTTAAGCTTTTAGGGTACCACCTCTCTTTACCTTTACTCTTCATACACGAATGAATACAAAGAGAGATTATGTTTGTGTATCACCCTTTACGACAACCAGGTCGTACCAACAGTAATCTACCTAACTTAAGGTATATAGCTATTTAGGGGACTACTACCGCCGGTTCTACTAGTTCTACTACTAAACCTATATATACTACCCTAATAATAGCTAGTCTATATAGGATATTAACCCGGATTCTTCGGTACTAATCCGATTCGGCTACTACTAATTGTAACGAATACTCAAACTGGCCAACTAAATTTGGCTGGGTGTTCGCTGGTTGGTATGCTATGATAAGAAGAAGACTATCGGGTTGTTCACTTGGAAGTGAACTCGTTACTTGTATCAAAGATGTCAAACTAATGTGATAAGATTGATAACTAAGTTGAGCACGAAGCTCCTATCTAATGGCAGACGTGCCAGTATTATATAGAACCCTCGTTCCCATAGTTGCCATGGTCGAACAGTCGCCCATGGTCGACACGGTCGACCGTGTCGGCCATGTCGCTGGTCACGTGATTCCAACCCAAGGATATGCTATGATAAGAAGAAGACTATCGGGTTGTTCACTTGGAAGTGAACTCGTTACTTGTATCAAAGATGTCAAACTAATGTGATAAGATTGATAACTAAGTTGAGCACGAAGCTCCTATCTAATGGCAGACGTGCCAGTATTATATAGAACCCTCGTTCCCATGGTCGCCATGGTCGAACAGTCGCCCATGGTCGACACGGTCGACCGTGTCGGCCATGTCGCTGGTCACGTGATTCCAACCCAAGGAAATCCCTGGATCGCTTAGCTAGCCCAAACGATCCCTTATTTGCTATAAGTCCATAGATGTGCTTGACCTGTCAGGACGCCGCCTGGTCTTCACTTATCACGTGTGCACGTGATTCGTGACAATAGTCTTCTTCTTATCATAGCATACCAACCAGCGAACACCCAGCCAAGTTTAGTTAGCCAGTTTGAGTATTCGTTACAATAGGGTTCGAGTCTACGAACCCGCTAAAGGTATTATTAACTAGTAAGAAGCTAACTATAAATAAGCGCTAGGGACTAGAGTACTTTTATAGTATATTAATTAATATAGGAGCTATAATATATAACTCTATAGAATACGATTGATATAAGGCGTATAACGCTATCTATACTTTACTACTTAAACTAAGTTCGATTACTATTTAGTTTAGTATTAGAAAGTCTACTATACTAGGTATTATAATAATAGATACTCCTTTAGGTTAAATTAACTTTAACGTCTTTAGAATCAAACTACTATTTATATTATACCTATAGGAGTTAGATAAATATAAAGCTATATTCTATAACTTAGTAAATATAGTTATATATAAAAATAAGAAAATTTCTATTATATATTAATTAGAGCACTCTTTTATAGTATAGGGATAGGCTTTATATAACTTTATAAAGTAATACCTAAGAATACTAATAGAAACTAAATTACAATAACTCTATAAGCGATTTAGCTACCTATCTATTCCTTAATTATTGTGACGACACGTACGATATGTTGCTCAAGGAGCGTCCAAGGTGTAGGTTATGGAATCGTAGAACTGTCTATTCGAAGATTCTAAGCTAAGGAGAGAAGAGAAGGAAGGACAGAAGCTCAAGAGCCAGAGGCTCTTAAATACAGGAGGTGGCGCCAAGGGCCATGCCTTAGCCGAGTCTCAGCCAGGGGCTCGTTTGACGCATGGTGGCCGCCGGGTTCCAGCCAGGGCTGGTCTGTAGCGTGGTGGCGGTGAGAACCGTCACAATTATAGCGAGTTCTAGAATAAGCTAATTATAAGGTTAATTCGAATATACTTGTAAAATTAATAAAGTTTTATAAGTACTACTAAAAGTATAAGCGATCACTATATAGATTCCGTTTTACTTTAAAGGAGAACGAGGATTTTAATTATATTATTTATATAGAAATCCTCTTTATATTAAGTAAGCTAGTTCTTTATATAATTAATAAAGCTATAGGATAGAATATTATATATTAGCTAAAAAATATATTAGTAAAATATATCTAGGAGATAATAAGTAAATATTAGATTTATATACTCCTAGGACCTATAGATATACTTATTACTAATATAGCTAAGAACTTTACTTCTAAGGAGTTTACCTTATATATAAATACTCTTAGTATTAAAGTTAAAGCTATTCCTATTAAAGTATATAATTTAATTAGACTAATTAAATAGTACTATAGCCTAGTTTAATATACCTACGATATTTTAATTAAAGAGATCCTAGATTTACCTAAGGACGTTATACTATAAATAGTAGTAACAGCCTTAAACGATACTATTAGACCTAATAGACTTATACTAACTCTACTAGTTTTCGGAGTATATCTAAAGATAGTAGACTATAAGATACTATTGTGACGGTTCTCACCGCCACCATGCCTCAAACCAGCCCCTGGCTGGCACCCGTCGGCCGCCGTGCTTCCCGAGCCCGGCTCGGTTAGCTATAACCCTTGGTACCCCTCCTGTATATAAGAGCTTCCAGCTCCTGGACTTCTGTCCTTTCTTCTCTTCTCTCTTTAGCTTAGAATCTTCGAATAGACAGTTCTACGATTCCATAACCTACACCTTGGACGCTCTCTGAGCAACATCTCGTACGTGTCGTCACAACTATTAACTATAGTTACTTAGTAATCAGCTATACTTATAAAGGTAATAATAAAGGTATATAAGATTAAGGTAAGATAATAGGTTAGTAAGATACTTAATACTAGAAATAGACCTACGAATATAGTTAAGGATTTACCTCTTAGTTTAAAGGTTTAGGTATAATATAAGAATAAGAAGTAGTAAAGACTATATATTTTATAAGGATAAGATAATAAGAATATAATTATTAAGATTAATAATAAGCCTATTAAGTTTTAATCTATAGTTATTAACCCTAGATATATAGACTAAGAAGTTACTAAACTTATTAATCCTTCTATTAAGCCTAGTAACCTTATAGAATATCCTAAAGATAATAAATCTAATAATAACTCGGATTAGCTAAAGGGACACCCACTACTATAAAAGCGTAGTTATAAGAAACTATAAAAGGCTATAATTATTTATTATATAAAGGTATATTTAAGAGACAAAGATACTAAATACTCTATATTCTTTATATAGAATAGGGAAGTTTATCCAGTATTTAATAACTTAAGATAGATTAAGATAGATAGATTAACTAATAATAGGGTATTTAAAGTTATAACCTTTAATTAGCTTCTATAAGATACTTATATCTTTAGTTCTTAATTTATTAATACTATTAAAAATAAGGGTACTTTAAAGATATTTAAGAAGTCTTAACTTATAGTAAAGGCTTTTAATAATAATAGAAAGAAGTTAATCCTAATATAATCGCTAATGATTTAGC